AACATTTAGAGAAGTACAACTTGTGCTGTGGAGAATGACTGGACTTTCTTTTCTGAGGGTGTCATTAAATTTACCTTAAAATCTAAGGAGAAGTGAAACAATGAGCAAAACTCCTGAAATGAGAGTTCAGTTAATGAACTGAACATGTGAGGAACGGTCATGTTTATGTATTCTCCCAAATTCATTTTATTCTGCACTGTGTTTTAAAAATATGTGACATCATTGATAAAAATACTAGCATGCACAACATTGCTCAGCCAAAAAAGGATCACGCACTGTTTGGTTGGACCACCTTTAGCATGGATTACAGCACATGCTCATTGTTTTGATAAGCTTCTGTAGTGTCACAAGGTTTATTTCCATCCAGTGTTGTATTCATTTCTCACCAATATCTTGTATTGATGATGGTAGAGTCTGACCGCTGCACAAAGCCTTCTGCAGCACGTCCCAAAGACTCTCAATGGGGTTAAGGTCTGGACTCTGTGGTGGCCAATCCATGTGTGAAAATGATGTCTCATGCTCCCTGAACCACTCTCTGTATTTGAGCCCCATGAATCCTGGCATTTTCATCTTGGAATATGCCTGAGCCATCAGGGAAGATGGAATAACCTGGTCATTCAGTATATTCAAGTAGTCAGCTGACCTCATTCTTGGAGCACATATTCCCCACAAGCTTGTACAGTAGGCACTAGGCATGATGGATGCATCACTTTATCTGCCTCTCTTCTTATCCTGACGCACCATCACTCTGGAACAGGGTCTATCTGGACTCATCAGACCAGTGGTAAAAAAAGCGTTGGACAGTTTTTAGTCCAGTTTTAGTCATTTCTACAATCTTCTTAAATGTTTTCTCTGCTTAATGTATACCAATGATTTGACCATTCTCAAACAGGCCAACATCTTTTCCACAACTGCCAGATGTGTCTTTCCACATGTTTGTTTAACCCTGCCACTGTCTTTATGGGTGACCCCGCGAGGAAAGTTGACCATTGAGCAGGATTGATGGTTTATTCCTTGAGGTCCATGTGGCAGGGGTGAGGTGGTGCTCACTCCTCACCCCTGCCACATAGACCCAAGGGATAAACCATCAACCCTGCTCAATGGTCAACTTTCCTCATGAGGTCACACCCGTTAGGACAGTGGGAGGGTTAAGAAATGAGAAGCAACTCATTGCACTAGGAGTTAAATAACATGTTGCCAGCTGAAGGAAGGATAATTCCCCATGCAGTAATTATCCAACAAGAGCCTCGTACCTATTTTCTTAGTTAAATCCAGGTGGCGACTTTGTTTTCGGCTGGACAGTGTATGTTTAACATATTTTAGAGTCAGTGAGCTTGTAGGAACTGTTTAAGTCAGCTTTAGCATCAATTTAATACATTTCTAGAGTTGAAATCCTCTCTGAAAATGTTAATCCAAGTTCTAGACACTGTGAAAGTCAGAGTTTCTGATTTAGGTCATTTTTTCCCCATAAAATCATTCAGTGACCTCTTAAGCCCCGTGAAAAGGAGCATTGTTATAACAGGCCACTATTACTTCATAAAGGTGAACACTCTGTCACATATTTAAAGTGGTTTGCAGTGACCCTTCCCTTTGAGAGGTCAAAATGCCCAACACAATAAAATAAGGCTATAATTCCTGTTATAGTAGGGGTTAGAAGGGGTGGACTGCACTGTTGTCTTGGTATACATGGCATATCAGGTCACACACATAGTGAAAGAATTATGAAGGGTGATTCACATTACTATATCACATTTCTAGAAGAAGTGTAGCTGAAATTTCTTGCACATTAGAGTTTTTTCTCATTTCCCTTTTTTTCTGCCAGGTCAAACTTGCATCAAGGGTCTAATTTAGCTCTTGGTTCAAAGCCAATATTGATCAACGCTGTTTTGCACAGTCCCATGTACTGGACGTCACCTTTGACTTTACCAAAGACTGCAGCTGGTCAGGGTTGCCCCTAAATCACAGCCTCCTTCATGCCGTTTTCATGGTTTCACCCTTCAAATGTGAAGTTCTTTCTCTATGTTCCACAAACGCCTGGTTTCAAAATAATGAGTAATTATGCTGAACCGTTGTCATTGCACCATTCACCAAAACAATCATCACTGTAATTTTTGCCATAATTGAGCAGCAGACACCATCTGTATCCCAACAGAGAACTCTCTCAAAGCCATTTAGATTTTTCTCTGTTCTCACTGCAAAATCGGAGTCAGCTGAGCCAGCCACATACAGAGCATGATTAGATGTTAATTATTTAGCGTTGCGGTAAATTATTTATATTTTTCTCCCTCCAAAAATTCCTCTATTGATGTAATTTACATCTTAGAAATATTGAAATTGAAATATAGGATTTATTTTCCCCAATATTGCACCTGTGAATGTGCTCTAGCAGTGTAAAACTGCATGATGTAATATTGGACTTAATAAGTCATTAATATTCACACATAATCTGAAACGGATCTCAATTTGTAGAAGAGCCTAATTGTACTGAATTGTCTGTGTTGATGCATCAGAATGAGGGTTTTGTAATAACCCATCGAATTCCCTTTAAGATCAAGTCACTTCTTCTTAACTCTTTCTTGCGCGATATATTTACAAAGTATTACTTTGTAGCAGTCTACAGTATCTGGTTGCTCAGTTATACAAAAACAGGAAAGAATGTTTGTAAGTATGCTAGTGAAGACAGCCTTTACAATTGCACTTCTGATTCACAATCCTCCAGAAGAACTCAATACAGGCACTTTAGCAGGCACAGTTTTGTGTAGATGAAAGGCAAATTGTTGTGAGGTCGCACTAATTGTGCCTTTAAAACCAAGTTCCACAGAGCACGCTAGTGTGCCTCGTTGTTCCCTGGATATGGACTCAAATAAAATGTGCTTGCTTTGGGTTTTAAAGATGAGATTCAATGTGCTACAGGATAATTGTTAGCAAACCTATTTACTCCTTTTAAATTCCTCTAATTAAACATTTGTAGGACCCAGTAGACACAGAGTCAGTATAACCCTCTACACTACACTACACTCGACAATCTTGACTATCAATCGAGCTGGTTATCGATTGCCAAATACTTGAATATTCTGAGTGTTTTCAATGACAGGTGCTCATAATTTTGTTTTGTTGGTTTGAGGGCAAAAAGAAAAATAGTAACCATTGCTTTTCAATGTCTCACAATGCCGACTATCAAGCTTCAATTCAATTACATTAGCCTTTCTTTTAAACCTATGGTTATTAACCAAATGTAAATATTTAGTTTACCAACAGTCTAGGTCATCCATCCATTCATTTTCTTTACTCATTTATCCTCGCAGGGTTGGGTTGCCGGGGGGCGGGGGGGGGGGGGGGGGGGGGGGTGTTGGACTGTGGGAGGAAGTGCCCTGGGAGAACATACAAACTCCATGCAGAAAGACCCCAGGTTGGGATTTTAACCTGGGACCTTCTTGCTGCAAGGCAACAGTGGTAACCACTGCACCACTGTGCAGACCCAGTCTAGGTCAGTGGGGGGGTGGGGGGGTGGGGGGGGGTGGGGGGGGTCCAGAGCATGGTAGCATAATTGACAGCCACTGGTCGAAGCCAAGGCTGTTCAGTTCTGGTCCTGGAGGGACACTGACCTGCATGTTTTAGCTGTTTCTTTCCTCCATCACATCTAGTGAATTAATCTCAATAATCAAATTGCCTCTTGAGAACATCCTCAAGTTCTTCAGAAGCCTGTTAGTCATCCATTGATTCAAATGTTCTAGTGCTGGAAAACAAGCAGGTATGTGGCCCTAGAGGACCAGGATTTGATAGCCCCGGTCTAGCTCATCAATGTCTACTTCTACCTCTATGTGATGTACCAGACAACTCTACAGGATAATGATAGAGAAGTTTCAAACATGACGTGATGCATTCTACATGGTCTGATGTTATATTATTCAATTCTAATGTTTGCATGTCTTAGGATTAAGGGCATGTTCACACAATAGCAATTTGCAATGGTATGCATTAATTTGCTTTTGGGCTTCATCTTTGGCCCATTGAACCTGTTTTCCATTTCTTTCAAAAGCAAGCTAAAACAGACTGATCCAACTCCAGAGCGTGTGTTCTCTATCTTTGTGTCCATTTGTGATCTTATACCGAGCGAATGTCCATACAGAGTTGACATGCAGCACATGTCTTACATAATACAGTTTGATGGTAACATTTCTGAATGCAGCAGCAGAGGGTCTGTGCTGAGTGACGCATGCCTTCCAAACATGCTAGCGAGTCCATCTCACTACATCGATCACAGCGGCTCGACGGTTACTCGTTCAGTATTGCCTGAAAGGCTGAAGGCCACATAGAAATGTGATGTCTGATCTTATAGGTTTCACCAGATCTGTAGTTTTTCTGTATTTTTTTTTTAGCAGAAGATTTTGAAAGACCCACCACTTTGTAGTCCTATTTCTAGTTTTTCTTTAACGCCTCAAAAAACGAAAGCCAAGCCGTCTTTTCCAAAGACTGTTCATTGATTGCTATCAACTGGGTTTTCCAGCTCATAATCCAGCAGGTTACAGGTAATTGGCATTTTGCAACATGATCATGCTCACTACGACTGATTGTTTAAATCTGGGTCACAGGGATTTTGTGAGGCAAGAAACAGCATCAGTCAGAAAAATCATGCAAGCTTGAAATACTTTCATGTTATAAATCCCTGAAATGGGTCTTGTGTTCCTGTGAGCTGCTGCTTTTTACTGTTACATTTTTTTCAAACAGAGAAGTTAAAATAGGACATTAAATGCTGGACATTTCACGACTCTTTCATCTGCCTGCATGTGTCATTTGCCCTTGTAGAAGGGTTTAATATGTTCTGTATTCCTAGATAGATTGCAGTTTCTTTGAGTGTGTTTTCATTACCAATGATGCCAAAAGGAGTGAAAAATAAGACAGCATTTTTACAAAATTAGCAATACTCTGCATAATATCTTCTCTGTCTGTTGCATTTGTATACTGAGCATGGTTGGCTGCATTTGTAAAAGTCTGCTCACCCTTCTCTCTGAGCTTCACCTTTCTCCAGCTCCTGAATAACTCCAAGAAGAACCTTGATGGTCTCCTGGCTTGAGTTGATGAGGCTCTCCATGGCCTGCAGCTGTGCTTTGATATCCTTGTCTCCAGATAAAGGTATTATCGGCTGGCTGCTCCTCATGCCTGGGGCTTCCATGCCTCCTGGTGGAAAGCTCTCCTCCCCCCCAACCGTTTGCTGGAGTTTGGAGGAAGCTGATGCATGCCTTGTCCGACACTTCCCTTGCGATTGCACGGAGCATTTGACACTGTGAGGAAAAGTCTGCGAATGCTGTTCATTTGACTGTGCACCCTTTTTCCGTTTACAGCTTACAGAGGGGCTTCCTATAGATTCCACTTGCGTTAAAGAGTTCCATGCAACTGGGCCCATACCTTTTGGCTTGTCCTGTGAAATCTCAGTGTCCACCAGCTGGCGCTTTGAGGAAGTGCCAGCATCAAAGCTTTCTTTGGGTAATCCTTTGTGTTTCGTCCATTTCCCACAAACTTGATATTCTGGTTCCTCTTTAGAAGGAGTTTCACTTGGATGGCTTTCTTCAGTAAAATGGGATGACTCTCGGCACGAGGGTCCATCCACACAGTTGGCACTGGAGAGCAAATCCTCCGTATCACTGCTGTCATCAGTGTGGTGAAGCAGGGCTTTTGTCTGCCCCACAATCTTACCGTTGTACTCAGACGACTCTCCAGTTGGCTGTCCATCATCACCTCTTGTCTTTATATCACTCAAAAATCCATTGTTTTGTCCCCTGTAGTCTTCCACCAGAGCAGTATGTTTAAAAGTGTGTCCCTTTTTCCTCTCAAACGGGAACGTCTTGTATCGCTTAGTGAGGTCTGGAGAGGTCTGTACACCAGTGCTCCTGGTCACATTGGGAATAGAGCGTCTGGCAGGCATGGTCATGTACTTTCTGTGGGTTACCTTGCAGGAAATGGATCTCGAGTGTCTTCCCCGGTATTCGTTTTGAGCTTCGCAGATATCCTTGAAGCGCACTTGTAAGGCTTTGTTTCTCTTCTTTACCTGCTTCCCTCCTGATTCTAGTTCAGAGTGTGTAGCGTGTGATTGGCCCGTTTCTGAGTCTGATTCATCTGAATTTGAGAGATCAACACATTGGGTGTCCTCCTTGCTCACCATATTTTCTGAAAACAGAGAAAAAGGAGAGTGAACGAGTTGTTCTGATACTTGCAAGGTGAATTTATTCAGTGATCACTTATTCAAGTAACGAATTTTTTTTTATTCAAGTAAGACAAAAAAAACTCACACAGAAGAAATTGAACTCCTGGTTTCTGAGTGCAGGTTTTTCTGGTTTATGTCTACTTTTTATATCTTAGCTGTCTTATTTTTTGCTTCAACATTGGTGCTTTACAACAGTTCATATGGAAAAACAAAACCAATCATCTGAAACCAACCAAGAATTTCTATACACAATCATTTTTGCTGCTTTTGTTAAAAACAAAAACACTTCTTTATTTTTTTTTATTTGGGTCCGTTAATGATTCCAGTGCTCAGTTCCACTCCAGAAATCCATGCAGCCTTTCCTCATGCTGCGGCATCTCGCAAACCAGTTTTCCTGCCAGTTGTTTGATGATTAGCTTCTTGAGACCTTTTTGGAATAACAATAGCCTTCACGCTGCTGTCCTGGCTGTTTCTGCCATTATTTAAATACTGTTTATAGACTCTGGTACACAACTCAGCCTAGAAACAGCTTTTCTGTTGACACTGGGTACCACTGCTGAATCATTTAGTAGCCAAGATAACGTAATGTGAGTAGAAGAAGTGTGCTCGACAGTATCATTAACTCATGGGTTTCTGATAGTGGACTATGTTATTTTTTACTGTAAAGGGGCTATGGTGTATTTGTTTAGCTGATTTATGCTTAGCTGTGTCAGAACATTTCATGTCCTTAAACACGACAGGCTATTTGGCTTTCTTTGTACTTAGGCCCTGTCCACACGTAGCCGGGGATCTGCCAAAACGTACATATTTTTCTACGTTTTGGCCTGTCATCCACACGAAAACGGAGTTTTTTCACACAAAAACGGATCTTTTTAAAAACTCAGGCCAAAGTGAAGATCTGCGTTTTCTCCGTTTTGGGTGTCTGCGTGTGGACGGACAAAACCGCAGTTTTAAGGTCCGCAACGTCACTTTCCGCAACAAAAAAATGCTGACGTCACGTGTGCGACCTGTGTTTACACTAGCCGACAGCATGGATGCCCTCAGAGCTGCACTCGCTTTATCAATTGCCCATGCGCTTTTTGCTTGTTTGTTTTTGCAAGCGGAATTACTGCTCCTTGCGGAAGACCACAGACGAAGGACGAGGTTAAGAACGGGGGAAGTACTGCCGCCTACAGGTCTGGCATGTCCTTAACAACGTATTCGGGTACTTGTGGACGGAGTTTTTTTTTAAACGAGGTGGTGTGGATGCAAGTTTCTGGAGGGGCGGATATTCGTTTAAAAAAAAACCCGGCTACGTGTGGACTAGGCCTTAGATGTTGGAATTTTGGGGAATTCAACTGGAATTATATTAGTCTCCCTAGATGGTTACAGCGCTGCAGTAAGCTCACGTGGGACACGGCAACCCCACACTCACTGATAACAGTAGTTACATCCCAGCTTCTTTTGTTTTTAAAGGAGAAAACCTGACAATCTCCAGAGCCAGCTGGACATGAAATATGTTTCAGTATAACCTTCCTGCTAAAATGACTGAAACATTAGATTCTTTTGGGATATTCTCATTGTAAAATTTTCACTATATTCTTACATACTGCTCCTTTATCTCGTTCACTTCCATTGACGACTAAAGTCGTCAAATGCATTTTTAATGGGGCATCTTGAAAGTAAACAACAGGGCCTTGATATACTGTACTTGCTGTTTGACAACGCAGATGTGTGTTTAAAATGGCTGCCACACGTTACGCTGATTTGAAGAGGCATTTGTGCGTGTCCACTGAAATTAACGTGACACGTTTAAACACTGCAATATACTAGTAACCAGTAGGTGGAGTTGACAATATCAGGGGGACACATGGTGACAGTCTCTGGTTTCTTCGATACAGCTGCTGTCTCCTTTTCTGTCGTGAACTCAAAATTAACCAAGTACTGATCTCTTCTATTGACCCCATATTTGTTTTGGTTGTACCCACAAACTCGGCTCTCTGTCCGGTCTGAGTAGTCTAGTGTGCCCCCTTGTGGAACACCCCAGTACTATGTGAAGTACAATGCTGTGCAGACACAGCCTGCTGTCTGTGCCAACGCGAGGTCAAACAGCAAGTATATCACTGCCCTAAGGAGATCTTTTTGGGACCCCGTTATGAAAAAAGCCAGGAAAGCTTCTGCAGCTAACACTTTGTCAACTGATTGTGAAAGAATGGAAAAAGCTAGAAACACTCTGATTCTTCCTGATGTAAGAAGTGAGTCTACTCTTTCTTTTGGTAGTTTTGATGTTTACATGGTCATAGAGCACTATGTCCTGTGACTCTTCAGCAAACGATACCAATGCTCAAAACCCTGTCAGTCAGGGGTTTTCGGTTCAGAAAACAGCTGGCAGTGATTGAGTTAATGTTGGCTTTTTAATGAAAATGAATAAAAGAGCATTTTTTGCATCACTATAGGCTAAACTTTCCGAGATTTAACACAAGGATCAATTTGGTGTGCCACCCCAACATTTCTCTGGCCCCATGGCCACCCATATGAAACTTTTCTGGGGGCACCACTGGGTGCTACCCTTCATATCTAACCATATTTACACCCTCATGTTTCTTTTTCTCTGTGCAGCTTCTTAGCGTTGCTTGGTAATGATTTCCCCACAATGGTTGGAGTTGTTTTGTTAAATGGCCAAGAGGTATTTGGTGCTGATCCCCCTAGCTAAAAGGTGTTTACTATACCTAATATTCCTTTTGTGGTTTGAGGTTTACAGTAAAGGAAATGGCTTTGAGAAAGCTGTGGACTGCACACCCTAGACTCTAAATAATAACTGGTGTATAGCTCCTGGAGCTGTATCCACCTGTTGGCAACCAAGCTCCCTGGAGGAAAATTTATAATCATCACTCCTGAATCTCAGCTGTGCTGAGCATGGAGTGGCGAGGTCAAAAACTAAACACAAAATATGAACTGTGCGTGCTCTTCCACACCTAGAGGAGGGTTTACGAGTGAGCCGGCAGAATGAACTGACCTTAACTCTCAGAGAGAAACAAAATTAGGAACTCATTTACACATCAACCGCAGGTGATTAGATAATATTAGAGGCAGCTTGAAACCACTTAACATATTTGAAAAGGATGAATAGTCAAGTCTTTGTGTTAAAACCTTCAGAAAGGCAAAGTTTATAAAAACAACGTTCTGATATTGATTTTTACGTTAACTTAACAATTGGACTAATTATATACATATATATATATATATATATATATATATATATATATATATATATATATATATATATATTATTTTTCTATATGGTTTCTTTTCATTATTTTTAAAGTTGCAATGGCAAACTAATACTTTGTTAAACTATTAACAGATAAACTGACCCTCAAGATCTGATTCTTTCATGCAACTCACTACATAAATAAAAAAGAATCCTACATATGATCAAATGTCATAAAACATTATCTTTGAGCGTGTTTCAGGCATTTGCACAAGGAAATGAAGTGATGTCTGATATGGTTGAAGGGAAACTTCAGAAAAAAGCTGCTTAATCATTTTCATATGACAAGACACTGTGCGATGAATAAAGTCCAAGAAATCATTTATCACAGCACAAAAGCAACCTATTCGCGGTGTTGTGGCTCCTCAGAAAGTAATTATGTTTAATCATCTTGAGACACTGTAAATTCATCAGTGAGATTGTTCTGGTGCAAAAGTTACACTGAAGAGACATTTCCTAACTGTCACTACCTCTGTAAATTTTGTGAACAGAATCACTTGCATGAATGTGATTGATACTAATTTCTGCACATGTAGTGCTGCACAATAATACAAAGAAATAACATAACTAGAGATTGTGAATATGGTGCACCCTTTTCACCTGTGTTAAAACTTTCTGATACTCTCCTGGATTGGTTTCTGTGTGCACATGTTGACAGATAAATGTGCTTTTGTTCTTGTGTGGGTGCATGTGCTCCTTTGAATGTGTTTTGTGCGAGTATGGGAGCAGGAACAGAGGCAGAGAGTGTGTGAGCATTAGTGTGTGTAGGCCTTGTAGTCACCTTTTTAGAGACACCTTTCCCAGCATCTTAAGGAGCATGCACGCAGGCATGCACACACACACACACACACACACACACACACACACACACACACACACACACACACACACACACACACACACACACACACACACACACATGCACGCACGCACGCACACACATACACACGCACGCACGCACACACACACGCACGCACGCACACACACATACACACACACACACACACACACGTGCAAACAGACAGGGGCTGATAACAAAAATAAAGCAGGAGTTTGGTTTTTTCCCAGAACTCTTGCCTGGTGTTTTATGCTGCGTTCTTTTCATGGAGCATAACCTTCAGCTGTCCAATCAACATTTAGAACAATGCATTCAGCTAGCTGCACTCTGCACTGCTTTAACAGACAGTTAGGTTAAGAAAAACCCACGCCATAAAGTGTAGCTTCATCCCATTAATATGGCGTGCTGTGTCATGAATTTGTACAGAGATGACGGAGATGTTTTGAAAATTGCATAGGGCAGGTGATTTATTTTTTATCTTTTATCTTTTTGATGGCGGGTGGCTGGTATTTGTTCTGAAACACAACTTAATATGCTCTTTGACTTGTAAAGTTGTTTGTTGAGGTGTTTTCACGGATCAAAAAAATTTGTTTGAGGCAGATTCACATGAGAATGTGCTATTTCACACCGATCTTACACCGCTGAAAGGGTAATCACAGCTGCAGGAAGTCTCCACTGAGCACGTACAGTTTCTCATGCAGTCGTGCAGCACATGTCATGCAGCCAAATCAGAATTCACAAAAACGGGATCGAGAAAAGCTCTTTAATGACTCATTATTGTTGGAGGTCTGATACAGAGACAGGGAGAGACGGCTGAATGGGAGACTGTTGTGACACATGGATGTATTCAGACTTTTGAAAGAGACTCTCCATTTTCTCAGCATCTTCTTTTCTCCTCCTCCAAGCCCTCCTCCTCACAGCAAGCTATCTCTGCTAATGACCTGAGGTCCTTCCCTGATTTGGCCCCAGCTATCCAAAGGATTATGAATAATGTATTGAGTCTAAAATTGCAAAAGTAATCCTCTGAAATCTCCTTATGTACCCTGACAGTCCACGTTGTGTGCTCCAATTCCCAACAGTTCTTTAAACAGAAATGCTACATGTGTGCAAAAATAAAATAATAATTAGGAATTCCATTTAGCTACAATAACATGATTGATCATCATGAATGCAATGTTGCGGGAATGGGATGCCTATGAGGACGTTTAAATAAACTCTTTTGATGCAACAGCAATTCAGCACCACTGCTGAATCATGATTTCTTCTTCATTGCAACATGAGGGGAAAAAATTGCTTTGCTTGCCATGCATCACTTTCTGCATGCATCAGTTAACTGAAATATATCAGCAGGATATTTACATTTGATAACACCGTCTAGACGTTCTCTTCAACGATAATGAGCTAACACATTTCTCAGCCTTGTATTCATCAGTACAAACTAAATGCATCATTAAAATGTATACATTCTCCTGGGTTTCATTGTATCCTGAGATTAAAATTCACAAAAAAATTAATAAATAAAAACAAAGCATTGAAATGAAGATGCTTTCTGTCCTTTTAAATACCACAGGAAGCCGTTTTGATTATCACCTCCTATGCATTCAACTCTGCAATGAGTCCACTTTGCATGAGGAATTTTTACACTTCATTTGCATTAATTGCAAAGTGTGACATTGCACCAGCTATTGCATTCACAAGCATAAAATAAAGAAGCAGTCACAGGATTTTACACATTGTCCTGTCTGTGAGGCTGTGCATGCGGCCCTCCGTGCGATCGCCATTCCAGAGGTTTATTCCTTAGTAGGTTTATTTTTTGGCACGATGAATTTTGCCTCCACACAATCCCTGTTGCAGTAATATTTCTTTGCTTTCCACTGTGTGTGTGTTGAAAGCGGAGCCAGTCTGTTTTAAGAGCTCCACATTCACAGAGATACACGCATCCTCATTCCAGCTGTCGCACAGAGCTATCCCTATCTATCCTGGCTGCAGGCTACACTTGTGAAAGTTAGCTTTATGACTTTATTAGCTTTAAACATTTATCATGGAGCAGCGGCTTCCGTTACAGCAGGATAGCACACAAGGTTTAAGGAGCTTCCATCTCTGTAGTCTTGAATGAGAGCACAGGCTGTGAAAGATCCGTAGGAGATTTGAAGAGGCTAATATCAAAGAGGTCCTTTTCCCCCTAAATCTTCACCTGATATTTTTATCAGCCAAGTAAGTTTGGTCTGACAACAACAGTGCATCACCTTGATGACATCTCATATTTTAAAAGAGGTACTCAGGTAGCTAATAAATAGGATTATAACAGCACAAATGATGTCGAGATATGCAAAGAGAGAGAGATCACCCAATCTTTGTTTCATGTAAAATTTTATTTTAAAGCAATGACCTGCAGAGAGGGACAGAGGAAGGGAGGGGGTGGGTGGAGGCAACAGCTGAGACCAAATACAAGTGCAGCTCTATGATGCAGTACCCCAGAGCCCTCCAGATAAAACACATTACTGGTCATGAGAAGTATCATCGTAGCTCTCATCTAATCCATACGCTACGCATCACACATTGCATGATGCAACTTAAAATAACAGGCGTCCTCCTAAAGAGGGTCATCACACTGATGGTCTGCTACAGTCAGATACACAACAGTGTGTTAGTGATCTCTCATCAATATTCCTCACTATCAAGCCCAGGCAATTCACAACTACTGCAATCTGGATAATCAGCTTCTGCCTCACTAGGTAAATGCTGCATTCCTATCAGCCGCCACAAAGACACGCGTCGTGATAAGTAGATATTAATCAGTCAAATGACATCACCGCTTATCTTCACTCAGTTGTGAAGAAAAAAAAACATTTTGCATGCTCTTCAATTGGCTTTATACAAAATGCCTCCAACCTAATGTATCTCTCTAATGCATCCATGTGTGTGTGTATTAAATGGGAACTCATCACCACTGGTTAGTTGATTTATGAATTATGTTAGTTGTTTCTACTTTTATTCAGTTACAGATGAGGTGTAAGTCTTACCTTGAAAAACAGATCAGAGGTGAAGAGGACAAGAAAGCACAGATCCCCTGCAGAGCCAGTACTCATCCATGTATTCAGCCGGTGCCAGGGTACCGTCCAACCGCTGGAGCAGCTCATGCAGCCTGGGGGAGTACTAAGCGAGAGGCAGCCGGTGCAGTGACAGCTGGAGGAGTAGTGGCACATCCGGCAAAGATTCAGGTTATCGGGATGGGAGAGGGGAAAAAAGCAGACAGACATTGTCTCCAAACCTCACTGATATCCCTCCCCCTCTTTTTGTCTTTCACTCCACTCTCTCCCCCCTCGTCTCCCTCATGCACCTTATTCAATCATCACTGACACTCATTCGCTCTTGTCCCTGCACTCACCGGGAGCAGGCACTCACACACACAGCAGAGATCTCCATCTCACGGTGCTGCTGCTGCAATCCCTGTGCATTCGTGATTGAGGGTGTGTGTATGTGTGTGAGTTTGGTGTGTGTGTGTTTAGGAAGGGCAGGGAGGGGTAGGCTAGTGGGAGGATGGGTGGGTGGATGGGAAGAGGGCGGAGGACAAGCAGTGAGGGGTACTATACGTAAGCTGCTGGGGAAAGTCCGGAGTTGGCGGACTGCATCGTCGGCAAAGACCCTCTCAACTTGTCCTTCACAGGCTGGCTCCCTTGACACTGAGCTGTTACATAATCTGAAGGGCTTAGAGGGGGAGGCAGGGGAAGGAAAAGGGGGGTGAGAAAGAATAATACATTGTATTTTTAATTGGATGTCTCCTGCCCTCGCGCTACTTTCATACATCTGACACATTACTTATTGGAAGTGCTGAAGAAGGGGTGAAGCGAGCAAAGGGTGAGCAAAGTGGGTCCGTGGTTTCACAGAAGAGGGAGAACAAGGGAGACAAAAAGCCAACAGGGCAGTAGTGTTAATGAGAATACGAGACAGGAGAGAAAATGAAAAGACTAGAAGGAATAATGGAGGCGCCCATCAGAGAGTAAGACCTGGAGAGAAAAGGGCTTTGCTGGAGACATTTCGATAGTTGAATCTCAGATTGAGGAGGAGCAATGTGGTTTTCGTCCTGTCCGTGGAACTGTGGACCAGCTCTCTACCCTTGCAAGGGTGATGGAGGGGGCATGGGAGTTTGCCCAACCAATCCACATGTGGTTTGTGGATTTGGAGAAGGCTTATGATCGTGTCCTCAGGGGGACCCTGTGGGCGACGCTCCAGGAGTATGGGGTGGGTGCAGGGCTGGACTGGGACAAAAATTCAGCCCGGGCATTTTGACTGGAGACCGGCCCATCACCTGTTTTTTTTGGAAAAGACATTAAGCCTTATGCTGTTTCTGACACACACCAACGTACACTTTCTTATTGGTAGTATTTATGTATCAATCTAATAAACGTAAACCTACACCATCCTTCCTATCCTGGTATTCTAAAAAGTAGGGTTGGGGGTAACTGATTATTTTTAAAATGATTATTCTGACGATTATTTTATCGAATAGTCGACTATTCTAATGACTATTTAGATGATTAATCTAGCGATTACTTTTCTATTGCACAATTAATAAAAACCAAAAAATTCTCAAATAAATTCCTCCAAAAAATTGATAAATCGTTACTGTAAGAGAATAAACACTACAGGCCTTCCATTTTGTATAACACTGCTTTTATTGTGTTGCGGTTGGTTATGTTCTGGTGACGTGTAGAACTTGGGAGTGCAGGCTGCTGCCTGAGAGGTGGTTGGAGACGGAGTGTCTCCATGCTGCTTTGTTTTGTTCACTTATGTGCGTGAGGCAAGTGGTGTTACAACCCTTCCTGGGGAGTCACGTGTTTCTCCTATTTTAACTGTAAATCCTTCTAGCTGTTATATTTATAACAAGAAACAGATATTCGGACAGAATATTTTCACGTTTATTCGAATATGATTGTGGAACACACCCAGCATCATAATAAATGAAGTAATGTTTATGCCAATTTAAGCCTTTATGGGTGACCAGGACTCTGTGTTTATGAATGTGGAAGACACCCAGCATCCTGTGATGGCACTAATAACATCAAGAGATAATAAATAAGGTAATATTTAGGTCAATTTAACCCTTTACAGGTGACCAGGACACTGTAATCAATTTTTGGCAAGGGAAATGATCATTTGTTGCCATTTTTGAGGTGTTTATGAATGTGAAAGACACCCAGCATCCTGTGATGGCACTAATAACATCAAGAAATAATAAATAAAGTAATATTTAGGTAAATGTAACCCTTTACAGGTGACCAGGACACTGTAATCAATTTTTGGCAAGGGAAATTATCTTTTTTTTTTTTTTTGCCATTTTTGGGGTGTTTATGATGATACAGTAGACAGTATGAGTACAGTAACATCAACAGATAATACATAAAACCCTTATTTGGTCAATTTTAGCCTCCATGAAAATCTTAGCGATTCAATCACTTTTTGGCAAGTAAAATGCCATTTTAGTTGTCCACAATTAAATCATCAATAAAGAATTTAAAGATATTTTGAGGCGTTTCTTATAGGTAAACAGGAGGGTGTAGTCTATTTGGCAAGTGACAATCTTGATTTTATGTGCTGAAGTGCTTTTATCTTGTTACTTTTAAATAGAGCAACGTAATGAATAGATAGCAACCTACACAGTGTCATTAAAGCCAAAGCTTGATCATTTTAAATACTTTTTTCCAAGTAAAAATGTGCCCCAAACTAGTTAACTGTGGCTCCATGTCAAGTGGACTAAAGAAAGGAAGGGGCAAAAATTAAATCGCTGGAGAATTGTTTATTTCCATTTATACAACGTTTACATTCAATACAGGGTGCCATTTTACATTGTTTATTTATTTTTTTAGTATCAAGGCTGTAACATAAAGAAAGCCAGTTCTTACCACAAAGTTTGTGGCACAAACCATCTTTCAATCGCAAATATTGCAAAAAGGATTAATATATCCTCATTGTGAACGTTTAAGACAAATAGCAACACTTAAAACAACTTCCGAACTGGAAAAACTAATGTGGCAAGGTGCAGAAAGGAGTGCCCGGGCGGGATTCAATCCCCAGACTCCCGGGTGAGAGTCATACGCTCTAACCAGTCAGCCAAAGGGACATCTCCTTGGCCAAGAAGCCAGGGCGCATCATCAATCGGGACATTGTGGATGCTCAGACTGCCACATCTTCCTCCCTCTTTCCACAAGCACGTCCTCGTGCTCCCGCGCAGGGTGCCACAAACACTGCCACACTAATATCCGCGATAAACATCTGTTTAAGTACCGGAAGAGGTTATCTTTGCTTTCTGAATGTCCATATTGCTAGATATGCTGAGTTTTAGGGCGAAATCCTGGGGAATTTTGTCTAGAAATGCAATTACCTAACCGTGCGCGATCCCGCGGTGGCTAATCATTTTTTGGCAGCGAGTCAATTTATGGCACAACACCGGCTCGGGTTTCTCCTCCTCCTCCCTCTTTTCTTCTCCAACCTGTCGCTGGGCTGAGGCTCCATCACTTCCTAAATTGATTTTACTTGAACCTTCACTACCAAACAACTGTGAGATTTTAACACATGTGCCAGCATCAGCCTGAAGGGCCAGTTTCTTTTTTAGTCGAATTTTCTCCGCTCCTCCTTTCCGTTTTTTGTTCTCCATTTTGTTAAGCTCGTCTGTCTGTTTACTGAGATTCACAAACAACTGGCGGGTGCATCAGGCCTCTGGTTATTGGTCCAGCCCAGAGTGTATTATTACCAATTGGCCAATCCACCAACTTTTACGAGGCGTCGCGTGGGGCGGCGCGGACAAATTGTCCGCAACAACTAGAGGCCAGGAAAAAAAAAAAAAAAAAAAAAAAAGCAGACACCGGCCCATAAAAGATGAAAGGGTCGGCCCAGCGGGCAGTTGCCCGCTATGCCCTATGGTCAGTCCAGCACTGGGTGGGTGGCTTTCTGTTAAGGGCCATTCAGTCCCTTTACCAGAGGAGCGTGAGTTTGGTCCGCATAGCCGGTAGTAAGTCGGACCTGTTCCCAGTGAGGGTTGGACTCCGCCAGGGCTGCCCTTTGTCACCGGTTCTGTTCATTACTTTTATGGACAGAATTTCTAGGCACAGCTGTGGTGTGGAGTGTGTCGAGTTTGGTGGCAGGAGAATCTCGTCTCTGCTTTTTGCGGATGATGTGGTCCTCCTAGCTTCATCCAGCTCTGACCTTCAGCTCTTGCTGGGTAGGTTTGCGGCCGAGTGTGAAGCGGCTGGGATGAGGATCAGCACCTCCAAATCTGAGACCATGGTTCTCGACCGGAAAAGGGTGGCTTGCCACCTCCGGGTCGGGGGAGAGGTCCTACCTCAAGTGGAGGAGTTTAAGTATCTCGGGGTCTTGTTCACGAGTGAGGGTAGGAGGGATCGGGAGATCGACAGGCGGATTGGTTCGGCGTCTGCAGTGATGCGGACGCTGAGCCAATCTGTCGTGGTGAAGATGGAGCTGAGCCAGAAAGCCAGGCTCTCGATTTACCGGTCGATCTATGTCCCAATCCTTACCTATGGTCATGAGCTTGGGTAATGACCAAAATAACGAGATTGCGGATACAAGCGGCCAAAATGAGTTTCCTCTGTAGGGTGGCCGGTCTCAGCCTTAGAGATAGGGTGAGGAGCTCGGAGATTCGGGAGGGACTCGGAGTAGAACCACTGCTCCTCCGGATCGAAAGGAGTCAGTTGAGGTTGTTTGGGCATCTGGTCAGGATGCCTCCTGGACGCCTCCCTGGGGAGGTGTTTTGGGCATGTCCTGCCGGCAGGAGGCTCCCGGGTCGACCCAGGACATGTTGGAGAGGTTACATCTCCAATCTGGTCTGGGAACGCCTTGGGGTCCTGCCGGAGGAGCTGGTGGACAAGGCCGGGGAGAGGAAGGTCTGGAGCTCCCTAGTTGGGATGCTGCCCCTGCGACCCGGACCCGGATAAGCGGAGGAAGACGACGACGACGACTACGACATTATTAGATCATTCGGTTTTCAAAGACTTTTTGAAGATCTTACTTCCTGAGAGCGGTGGACAATTTTATCAAAGCTGTCCATGACACAGTTGTAGAAGCAACAAGCTAAAAAGTTGTAACTCCCACCATTATTGTGCAAGGCAACAAAGTCGTTTTTATAAAACAATGCCGTCAATTGGTTACAACGCTGTGACATTTATAAGTGGTCAGACCACAGAGGTAATATGGCGCAATTGTGGCCTTTATGCAAAAGATTAGGCGATGGTAGCATAAAGGGGGTAGGGGGGGGGGGGGGGGGGGGGTCTCTGCGCTGCCGCAAACTTCAGTTTATTTTGGACATGACTTGCTTTTTATTGCAGCCGTGCTCATTAATTTAAAGTCAAAAAGTTAAAGTCCCATTAGTTGTCACACACACTGATGTGTGTGCGAAATTTGTTCTCCGCATTTGACCCATCCCCTGGGGGAGCGGTGAGCTGCAGACACAGCCGCGCTCGGGGACCATTTGGTGGTTTAACCCCCAATCCAACCCCGTAATGCTGAG